CTAGTGGGTCACATTTTCCGTTAGTTGTGATTGGATTTTTCTTCGGTGGAATGGGAATTGCAATTTGCTTGTCTCAGTCAAATATATTCTTTACACGGATGTACGATCTGTCAAAGTACTTATCACTTTTTCATGGGTCGTATGGGTTAGGTGCAACTCTTTCACCTTTGGTAGCTACAGCGATGGTTAATGCCGGTGTTAAGTGGCATTACTTCTATCTCATTACATTATGTTTCATGATATCTACCGGTATTAATTTCTATCTTTCGTTCAAGGGTGCAGACGAAGATCTCAGGCCGTGGGATACTGATGAACCAAGCGAAGCTCTGCAAATTCTGGAGAGTGATGATTCCCATGAGAGTCATTATGAATCAGATGACTTAAATCAGCAAATAGGATTACAAGACTTGACTAGAGAAGGACTGAATGTACAAGACGTCCCTAGTAAAGATAATCAATCGTCACATTCTGCAGATATGTTATTAGCTCTTCAAAATTACAAGACATGGTTACTTGCATTATTAGTATTATTCTATCAAGGTGCAGAAGTCTCTTTGGGAGGTTGGGTTGTCACCTTCTTATTAAATTACAAACAAGGTAATCCAAACTCGGTTGGTTATGTTGCCTCGGGATTCTGGGGTGGTTTAACATTGGGTCGTCTTCTACTAACGAAACCGCTACATAAATTATTAGGAGCCAGAAGGGCCGTCATACTTTTATCTTTAGCTTCAATTTGCTTTGTGATCCTTGGGTGGTTGATTCCAAACGCTATAGCTGACGGTGTGTTTATTTCTTTGGCAGGTGTTACAATAGGACCAAACTATCCATTACAGATTGGTCTCACCGCTAAGCTTATACCTAGAAAAATCCAGGTTATTTCATTAACAATAATCACTGCCTTCGGATCGTCAGGTGGAGCGATTTTCCCATTCATAGTCGGTTTGATCTCTCAGAGTGCTGGTACCTACGTTGTTATGCCTGTTTTCATTGCATTATACTGCGGTATGCTTGGTCTTTGGATTGCCTTGCCTAATATTGA